ATTCTGTGTTCAGCCATTTAATAAAGGCTGACTTGCTCCTTTGTGCTGACCAGCATCAAATTGTCAAATCATGGACACAACCTCCCACACAAGCCAGCTATCACTGGGGGAGGAGCTCAGCAAAGGCACTGATCATCCCAGCCCTTCCAATTAACGGGGTAATAGATAAGCACCTCTACCACTTATGATGATTCAGGTGCTGCTCACAGCACAACCACCAGACAGACCTTTCTAAAGTGCTTATGATTGGCTTTTACACTCATAATTTCTGTTTTATGATCTCCAAATCATGTACTTCGTCCCTTTTTCAGTGTTTTCTCCAAAGCAAAGTGACAGTGTTGCAACTTGACAACAGAATTTGAGACGGATTGGAGAATGCAATGAACTGACACAAAGCATGAAGCTCATGACAGGCTGACACAAGAATTGAAAGAAAACTCATTCACTGGAGAAGCAAACAGGTGGATAGCTCTACTGGAATTGAAAAAAAAAAAAACAGATGGAAAAAATCTGACACGGTAAAACCTGGGGAATAAAAAGGGAGAGCACTGTGAAGGGTTTCAGGAGTTCCAGACAAAAGTCTGAACAAATGACATCAAAGAAAGCTCTTCTAACACAGTCACTTTCTTTGGAGACTGAAAGGTTGATTGGGTGAGTTGTCTCTAAGGAACACTGAGGCCAGTTTTAAAACGACTTTAATATAAATACAATACTCAGTTTGTTCTAGGTTACCGTCATGGGGCTTGTGTCCAGGAATCTGGAACTGCTGACTTCTAGAAGGGACCCAACTCCTCCTCCTCTGAGAGCAGCACAGGTTGTCCATGATGTGTTTCAGCCAGGATACTGCTGACCTTGAGTACTGTGTGCAGAGCTGGGCACCACAATCCACAATGTAAGGGAGATATTAAACTATTAGAGAGCATCCAAAGGAGGGCAACAAGGATGGTGAAGGGTCTGGAGGCCACATGAGGAGTGGCTGAGGTCACTTGGTGTGTTCAGCCTGCAGGAGACTGAGGAGAGATCTCATTGCAGTTACAGCTTCGTGGAAGGAAGACGAGGGGCAGACACTGATCTCTGCTCTGTGGTGACAGTGACAGGGAATGGCCTGAAGTTGTGTCAGGGGAGGTTTAGGTTGGATTCTAGAAAGGGTTTTTCACCCAGAGGGTGGTTGGGCACTGGATCAGGCTCCCCAGGGCAGTGGTCACAGCATTGAGCCTGACAGAGCTCAACAAGCATTTGGACAATGCTCTCAGCACAGGATGTGACTCTTGGGGTGTCCTGTGCAGGGACAGGAGCTGGACTTGATGATCCTTGTGGTTTCCTTCCCAGTGAAATTTCAGAGGGAGAAAACCCCGGTGTTGCTAGAAACAAGCTTTGTACCAAAGTCCACTCCCAACAGTGAAGGCAGTTAAGCATCACCATGTTTGAGAACCAGCCCTTCTGCTTCAAAGCCGTGTGAGTTTTACTATCAAACACACATTGCTGCTGGGTCCAAGGGGAATCTTGCACCAGGAAAGCTTCTCCACTTACCTGCATTGCAAAACTCCAGTTTTCATGCTGAGTGCTAATGTGCCTGAAAATACCATCCAACCCACCTGATGGTAGCACTGGAGATCACTTACTACCTGTGGTGTCATTCCAGATCTGAGCTCTCTTTGGGGAAATATGGGAACAGGATGTTTAAAAACAAAGCACAGATTAGACAAAGTGCTCTAACAGACCTTTTGTTATTGAAAAAACCCAAGTCCTAAGGGACAATACCACAAATAATTCTAAAAGATACTGCTGAACTTACAAATACAATAATTGAAGTGGATGGTTTGAACCAAAAGCCAACTTCAGTTCCGATTAAAGACAGGAGCTCAGGCACCTCAGTTCCCAGCCCAAGCTTCAATTATTTACCTCATTTCCAGCAGAAAAATCTGGCAAAAGCAATGCATTACCAGGAAACGGGTTATTTACTTAACCAAATCAAATATATTAGACTGGCAGGAGGTCAGCTGTAGCTCCAAGCTGGTATGTTTCTGTGGCAGGACACAGCATTTTGCAAAACATTCTTCCTTGGCCTGTGTGTAATATGGTTTTTGGTGCTTGACCCTAAGCAGAAGCAATCTTCGAGTTTGGATTCCACAGACTTGTACAAAACATCCTACACCAATTGCCAAATTAAATTGATTTCTCTCAGGAATTACCCTTCCTGGAGAATTTCTGACCAACTGCAATACTGAGAATATAATTTTGGTTCCCTTAATTTGCACATAATCTAGAAAGGAAAAGCTGAAGAGGCAAACAACAACCTCTGATATACAGCAGAAACAGCAACAAAAAGGCATCACAAAGCCTCTGAAAAACATGCTGGCACATTATTAGAGAAAAAAGACAGAAGAATCACATCATACACAGCTCACCTTGACAAGGCTGACAATAAAATCAGTAAAACAAACAAAAAAGGGAAGAAAGAAAAGTCAGAACAAGATGGCTTTTTTTTCTGATTATTCATTCTAGAAGTTCCATTGATTTTCTTCTAACATATTAACTCCATAAGCACAAAAAAACCAGTTGGTGTGAGCTGAGAGAATCAAATCACTCAGGAGAGGGACCTATGTGTTCCCTGCTGCAGTAAGAAGTTCTCTTGGCACAAAGAGCCCAGAAAATGGTGTCTTTCCCAGGATTTGGCAACCACTTAAAGGCTATTCCAAAATGACTGCAATTATATTTCCAATTTCAATTGTTGGCCCAGCCATCTCCTCATTGCATCTCTGCCACTAAAAGCATTTGGATTGTCTTAATATTGCCCAAAAGAAAAAAGAAACTGCAGCAAATTATGCAGTGGCTTCATGCCATCTAAAGAGGAGCCTGAATGATACTTGGTTAAGTAGCTGCTAAACTGTAACTATGCTGCGTTTACAGAACTTTACAAAAATGCAGTATTTAAAGGACTACAAAAAAAGATTATATTTTCCTCTCACTGAAGTATTGAAAGTGGAATGTTCTCTGCTGGAAATGAAACGGTGGGCGTTTGATGGCATATTTTAAATAGTATTCTTCTTTGTGCATGCAGTGTAATGCCACCCAAGGGGGAGATTAAAAAAAAAAGTCTGCAATTTGCAAGTCCATTTCAAAGTCATATTGAGGATGATGTGAAATTCAGGATAGGATTCTTGAGAAAAATCTCCCTGGAAAATGTGTATGTACCTCAGGGAAGCTTTGGATTTGCTTCCCCACACTGGAAGGCTGCTCTGTCTTTTGACATTTCAATGTTGTTTACTGTTTGCATCTAATTTTGGAATTATTCTGTGGTTTATTACAATGGTGTATCTGACTAGCAATAAGGTAATTCTCCTCTGCATCCTCCATGATTTCTAAAACTCTCTGGCTATTTATCTTGTAAACTTACTGATAGTGAGGATAGAGCAGTTACTTTTACAAGGGATTCATCCTGCTGATAGATGCTACTGAGGTAACTGGCTTTTACACATCCCAGCCCTGAGAAAAACAGGATTGTCCAGTTCAGTCTGATAATTTTGAAACAATTGCAAAGAATATCATGCTTTTAAGGCTTTAGATAGTCATCAGCAGGTGTAGGAGGGAATATTCTCCTTAACAGACTTCTGGCTAAACAGGTTCTCTCTTTCCTTGGTGTTGCTTTCCCTAAAGCATTACAGACTGGCCACAGATGGATCTGGGGAAAGAATTTTCCTGAGGTCAGAGTCTCTCCTTTAGCTGCTTGGGCAAGTGGATGTTCAGATTCAGATTCATCACCAAATCTGATGCCAGAATCTTCCCCTGGAAGGAGGAGCAGGGATGGCTTCTGTTTTCACTTGCAGTGCATAACACACCTTGGTTATAAAGGTAAGCAAGCACCTGCATCCTGCAATCACATCTCACCCACCAAAAAGGTCGAGTTCCAGTGATCCTTCCTGCCTTTCCTGCACGGCCACAACAATCTGTACTGCACAAGACTGAAATGCTTCAGTACCACACTGAAGTCATTAGATCTAATCTAGCAGAGCATCCAAGTGAAAGGAAAAGCAACCACAGCATATACTCAAGGTCCTTTCTTTCCCTTTAAATCCTAATTAGTTTAATTTCACTAAATTTTTGCCATACAGAAGTTAGACATGTCTCCTTACTTAGTGTTCTGTGCTTGTCTGTGTTATTTCTCCAAATCCCTGTGCTGAATTTGTCTTACCAACCACAAGGAAAGGTGTGACAACTAACATGGACAAGAAACCTACAGTTTATACAGCTCAAAGCAGAGATCTTGGAAAATTATGAAACCATAGGAAGAAAAAAAAAGGTCTCAAATATTTTATCCTGATACTTACCACTCCACTGTTTTCAGATCAAAGAAAACAGTGACAGCAAAGCTCTTATGAAGAAATCTAATCCATGACACTGAGCCCCTTCACCAGCAAGGCACTGGCACAGCTGTGTCTCACTTCACTCTGCATCAAGTGGGTTTTGTTTCTGGTATGAATGACAGACTCAAATCTGGCTGTACCTTGAGTCTGGTTTGTCCAGTTAAATGAAAATAAAAATGTATTTTGCACTACAGTCAGATGACACAATGCTGGTTTGCTTTTTTTTTAAAAAAAACAACTCAATAGCATCCTCCAAATGTGAGAGACAGAAGCCACAGACTATTATACTGCACTTCAATCAATGCAACTTTGCAAATTCCTTATGCCAACAATTCTCTTTTAAACTAGTATTGGGTGAGATTATTAGAAAAAAACAGAAAATTTGGATCACAGTTTATGCTCCTAGCTTTTGCAAATGATAGGCTAAGGTTTAGCAGTGTAATAAACTATAATCAATAATCTTGTCGCTTCTGCAATAATGCAAAAGCATTATATAGATTGTATCCACATTCCTTAGTCTAAAAATAAACACATATATACACATGATTCATTTATGAAAAGCAATTACTTGTGCTGAGAATAGCAAAAGTCCAGTTTGGAGCTAATCAAATAATTAAGAAGAAAGACAAAACAACATAAGCTTAATTATTATTATTTTAACATGTTAAAAATACAGTCACATCAAAATAGGGTACACAGTTATAAAACTGTTGCAGATGAAATAAGAAAATAGTGTGTATATATTTTATATATAAAAATCTACAGTATTTACTAATGCTGATACATATTTTGGAGCCTCATGTTGTTTGCACAAATAAATTGTACAGCTTCGTTATGAATTACAGAACCATCATTAAACACTGAGATTATTACACTTAGCCACAATATTATATACATACATTTCTAAGCTGCTGTAAGCAATCAGAACTAAAGTAAGCCCAAGTCATATTTATCTTCACAATTTTAGTTTAGGATTTCAGTGTAGTGCTTGGCTACAGTTACTTCGCTGCAGTTTGCAATTTTCAAAATATAAAATTGCCCAGTTATTAAAAATTACATCAGACACGTTATATACACAAAAAAATGTTTTGAAACATACTAAGTAAATGTTACTTCCATTTGTAAAAATTGTTTTACTTCTGTACCTTAAAACTTACAGAGCCAACCTGCAGCAATAATAGGCACTAAAGCTCATTCTTTAAAGGAAAAAAATAATATCCATTTCTATGTTTTCAGTTAACAAACCTTAGAAAACAAAAGGGAACAGGACAACCTTCCAAACTGCTGTTGATACCAATGCTTAGTACTTCAGTATCAGAAATCTCTCTGTTCAGCACTCCAAGGACCTCTCCTGGTGAGACCCTCCTCTGCCTCAGCTCCTGGCGAGAGGTCAGCACGTCCTGCAGCTCCCAGGACTCCATCCTACATGTGCCACTTCACCTGCTTTTAATCCCACCTCTAATTCACAGTCAAAGAAAGGAAAACACGAAGGAAAAAGGGCTGCAAACACTAATTAGAATTACTTACATCAGCAGGAGTTTAAGGTTCCTGTTAACAACAGGCAGGGTCATTTTAGTGTGAAACACGGTGCAGTGCAAGCCCAACAGCACAGCAGCACACACCCCATCACAGACAGGAACCCACCAGCAATTTGGGGGAAAAAGGGAAAAACACAACAGAATCCACTTGACAAAGCTTAAGAGAAGAGACACTGCATACTCACATAGCTCAGGGAGTATCAATATTGGAGCAAAGCTCAAATTCTTGCATGCACTTCACAGAGGTGTCAATGAGCTGTGCAATTCTCTGATACCTGTGAGATTTGGCCCTGCAACCAGTTTTAGTCTGACAGCACAGCATGGCAAAAAGTGAAGGGTGCAGCACCATTTCTGTATCTGGCATTAGTCTCACTGTGCTCCAGTCTTTTGCATATAGAATGACATTCTGAAGGTAGGTTTGGGTGAGAAGGTACAAATTCTCCTCTTTCAATGCACTTACAAAACCCCTAAAATACCGCCCTGAATTTAAGCACCATTTCTTAGCCAGATTAGAGAGACATTTTTTGCTTTCTGCTTTTGCCTGCCTGCTCCTTCCTGCTCAGGAAAATGACAAACAGTAGTCAAAGGAGAGGAAATTAACTCTCACATATGATTAAATTAATAATCCCAAAGCATCTCTCCTGCCCAGAACAGATACTGGGATGCTGAGGCAGCTGTATAAAAATGACGGAAATTCCCATTCAAAATGAATGGCTTCTCAAATAAATTACAAAGAAAAATTAATATGAAATAAAAGTACTTCACAAGCTTTGCCCAAAGTTAAATGCATTTAAACTTTTTAGCTCTTTTCCATATGAGTTTGTGTACTGTAAGTGCACACTCACACAGGTGCACACACACACATCTGTACAGTGCATTAACAATGTCAGTCAAAATAAAACTTTTCAGTGTGTTACAGGTTTTAGGCAGAAGGATTGTAACACAAGTTATTCAAATATGTAAGGAGCGACAACATCATGAACAACACGGTGTACATGAGCTTATTGCTATGTCTATGTGCATTAGATCACTTCCAGTAGCTTCCATGCAAGTCCAAGAACTCCACCAGCTTTCAACCAAAGTCTGAAACATCTCTGAAATAGTGTCATTATTTTTGAACTCACATGAACCGCTCACATTTCAGAGAACTGAGGTGGACTACTACTGACACAGTACTGTTCAACTGGTTTGGTTCTTGCCATTTTACTAAGCATAGCCAGATTCTCAGAGGAGCACAGATTCATGCATAGACAATCCATCAGTTCTGTTCCGATAGTGCTGGGCTTGAGCTGATGGGTTTGGATATTGGTACTGTGGGGAACCATTCTCTTCAAAGGTTGGGGAAGTCCTGTATCTCACTGGACTATCCACAGAAACAGCAGGAAGACTCCGGTCTTGTAAAGGTGTTGACTGAAAATGATGGTATTTCTGGAAATTATCCAAGTGGCCTTTGTTAAGGTCTTGGCTCCAGGGCTGCCTGTAGGGTTCATGTCTGTAGATGTAGGCAGCATCTGGCCACTTTCTCTCCTCTGGTAAATAATCTGCTGGAGGGATGATGAACTTGACACCTGGGGAGGACCTCGAGTTGCTGGTGTAAGCATCAACAGGAGTGACTTCTGTCTGAGCAGGGGCTGGTGAAAGAGGATTTTGGCGGCTGGCAGGATAGGAATTCATTTGCAGTTTATTTGGGGAATAATCTACTGACATAAAAGGAGGGTATGGCCTTCCAGAGGGGCCGGGTCGATTCCCATGGTAATGCAGAGGTGCAGAACTTGCATTGCCTATACTGGAAACATGCTTTGGAGAATTCCCATAGTAAGTAGGGGGATTACTATAACCTGGCAGTGGCTGTTTTACATTCAGTCCATGAGATGGACCATCAGACTGAGATGCATATTTTGGAGATCTGGGTTGTGAAGTGAAGGTGTAATTATTAGGTATTTTTAATGGAGCTGGTATTTTTTCCATTTGCTTTCTTGGACTGTTAGAAAATGCTACATGCCTAGGACTTTCTGGATGAGCTCTCTCAAGCACATCTTCAACAAGATTCTCATTCTCAGTTTCATCCTCTGAAACATTGTCATACTGAGATGCATTAGACCCTCGCTTACCTTCATCAGCATCCAAAACCCTTACTTTTTGCTTTACATTCAAAGGCTGCATTTCTCCAGGACTTGGTGGTGGACCCAAAACAGAATGGTTTACTGGCCTCCCTTTCACCTCTGCAGTGAGTTTCATTGTCTTTTCCATCATTTTGATATCAGATGGTTTATTCCACTTAGGTACAAATTCCCTTCTTGTATTGGAAGTAGCATTAGAATTTTGATTAGCAGCTGCATTATTGTATAGACTTGAGTTGTCTTGCTCTGTTGGCTGAGGCTTTTTTCTGGTATCTACCTCATTCTTAGGCAAATTGTTTTGTGTCTCTATTGGTCGAACCTTTTGCTGTTTTAAGGAAGGTTTCTTTTCCACAGAATTAATTCTTTTTCGGTCATTTGGTGAACTTTCTGGTTCTTCTTCTGTGGATGGTCTTCTCTCTGTCCTTGCTGCTTGAGTACCAGTACTGTTCTGTCCATTAAGCATTGGAGTGGAGTTAAGCACAGAAGGTAGAGGTCCTGATGGAATCTGCCCCAATGGCTTCTTTGGAAATTCATCTTCTTTACCTAAAACAAGAACAGGAATAACATAAATTCACCTTTGTGCAGAAGCCTTCTTTGATCTGTTCACCATGCAAGCACAAATAGCTAGAAATTAACTGGGCTTCTCTCTGGGTCACCATTCTGCTGAACACCTCAAAGGTTCTTCTAAACACTGACATCAAACAGATTTTCTTCAGCCTCTCATCCCAATCAGTTATTCCTTCCTACAGCTGATGCAATCTCACCAAGCTTTTGCTCTATCATGATGCTGCTGAAAAAAACAACATTTTTCTAGATGATGTGTTGGTTACAGTACCTACTCTATATGGAACCCTCCTCACATTGTTACATTAAACAAACTACTTTGTCCACTTTAAAAATCTCTCCCAGTATCACTCTCCTAATTGATTGTTTTCCAGACATTCATCCTTTAATGACCTCTGGCAAGCCACACCATCAGCTCCTCCCTCACATGCACGTAGTTCCCAGGTGACATCTTTGAACTCTCATTTCAGTTTTTAGGTGGAGCTCCTCATTAACATCTACACAATTAAGACCTTGCTCCCCCTAACCCCTTTCCTGCCTAGAAATTTCACCCTCAGTATTAAAAACCTTCAATAAAAGGCTCTATACACAGAATCATTTTTTTTTTCAGTTCAGCTTTACATCAATACAGAACAAGAGAAGCAGCTGACACCAGTACTGGCTACGTCATGGTTTCAATTGAGCGTTCCATGGAGGGGTTTTGCAGGACACAAGGGCATCATTTACAGAACAAGGACATGAATGGAAAGTTCTCCCAGACTGGAGCTCAACACATTGCAACAGCCAGTGGTAAACATCAACTGTGTGGGGACCCAGAGCAACCCACACTGACACACAGAAACAATAAGGAAGTGTTTCATGGCTGGATGCTGCTCACAGTACAATTTGCATCAAATTTTCTACTGAATCCTTCTCCTTAGCAGTCAACACCCTTCATAATCACAGCCAAAGCATTTTATCATATCTACTTGCATATAACTTATTTAATTGTGTAATCCATTACTTTCCCATTATAAGAAGAAAAGGTCATGCATTTCTCATTAAATGTATTAACCTAGATTTAATTCATTTGATGTTTAGCATTTAAAAAAAACACACAAAAGTTTTGAAGTCAACATAACCAAACAAGTCCTATTCACTGTGTATTTATAAAGAGAAGCTTTGTTGTAAGGAGGAAAAAAGAAATGGCTACCCTTGTTTAAATACTATTCAAAATAAATTCTATAAAATGGCAGTTGGTAAAACAATTTTGTCTAATACCTGCTTCTTCCTAAGGCAAGGACTGCAGAATCTCTTCCCATCAGAGATCAGAGAGTTAGCACCTCACTTTCTAGCTATTTGTAATTTAAATTATTGTTGTTTGTCTGTTAGGGTTCACAGGAGTGAATACACACAAATGCCTCTCCCTGACAAGAGCTGTAGTTACAAGTGAGCTATGTTCATTTATACAGGCATGAGCAGGAGCTCAATCTTTGATGAGTGGTTCATGATACAGATACACTGAGGAAAGCCAGCAGCCAAGGTCACTGTTATTTGTTAGAACAGCATAACAAACTACTAGCAAGGATCTGTTGATATATAAACAAAAAGAAAACTCTGAGTTTGAGCAGGCCAGGCCATTGCAGGAGGACAGCAGAGAAGAACACAATGGTGCCATCACAACAAAATAACTAAATAAATGCACTTAACAGAAACAGCCTAGATTTGCCAAACAATTAAACTAGGTGGGTTTTTTAAATTTTTCTTGGTAAAGACCAAAGGTCAGATGGAAACCTACTCTTTGCTTCAGAAATAACTTCAGAAGCCTCACTTCACACATGGTGGGGCCAAGCCTCAGCACGAGGCTCCAGTGAGTAGCTCTTGGAATTCCCAGTCTGATGTTTGGTCTCTTTCTATATGGGCTCCCAGTATTCCCAAATAAAATCTGGAACAGGGCTCTCACACCTGCACCCCTCAGCAAGGGAGTGTTCTACCACTGAAAGAACAGATGAGGGGACAAAGGAAGGAGCTGCACAGATGCTGTAAAAGAGGAGATTTAACAGCTCTGCAATACACTGACTGCTGCACCAGCCTCTCCAAAATTGTCTTTTAGTCTTTATGAACAAGAGTTCACTTTCTGAATTTGCTTCTGTTTGGCAAGAGGCATTTGTATCAATTAATTCCATGTGCATCCTCAAATAAACAGTTAGGCAAAGCTGAAGATCTTGTCTCTTGAATAAAAGTGAATTTTGCACATAATAAATATTCCTGATACTTAAACCACAGATTCAGTGCTTTCAGTCTTACTAATCTTGAATGGGAAATTACCATGAAGTCTGCATTAAGAAACAATACTTTGGTACATACAAAATACATACCAAAAACCTGCCATCTAAATCTTACTGAACTAATCTTTATGGGCTGCTAATCCATTTATAGCCTCCAGGAGATCCAAAGTAGTTATGGAATAGCACAAGAAAACGGCTCTGCAACATTGCTAAACTATTTAATTTCTGTCCTTGTATGGAAGGCATGTTTTAGAAACACTGTTTACTTTCCTCCACACTTGAAATTAAAATATTCTAGTCATATATATAAAAATCTGAAGAACAGTTCCTCTGGTAGCTGCAATGCTTCCTTCATTTGCCCAGGGTAATCAAAAGCATGAACTGATTTATTTTCTCCAAGCTTTTATTTTAAGAAATGCCTACAGAGCAATAGGAGATCCTTTAAATATACTTGGTTGCACAACAAAGGTGGGGTTTGTGTGAATTTTTCACTTTTAATTTCACACACTTAAGGTTTCCTAATTACCATTAAGCTCTAATAAACCCAGGTAAGAATACAGCAGACATTTTTATTGAATTCTATTGAGGCTGCTTTGTGTCACGTTTCCTTCTCATTCAGGGTAAAGGAACACCATACAACCAGGCATGTGTGGGCTGCATGTAGATGATGTATCCTGTAACATGAATCACAGCTGCAAAATGACCATCAGAGAAATCTTGCCATTAGAACTCAACAATAATTCACATCCTGAGTAACAAGGAAAGTGTTGCAAGACAATATTTCATTTAGAAGAAAACCTCTGCATTTTAACAGCATGATACCATGTTTATAGGCTGGTAACACCAGAGCTTAGTGCTGTCAGGGAAAACAAAACACAGAACAAGAACATGTGGAAGAAAGCTCAGTGGGGAAAAGAAGAAACACAGGTTGAACCTCAGCCACAGGACTTCCACAAAGCGTGGTTTAACTTCACCTTGGACACAAACAAGTGGCACTGGGTGCTCAGTCACCCAGGTCTGCTTGGGGAACTAAGCAAGGCCACACTGCTGGAGGTACCAACTCAGGAATCAAGGCTACCAGAACAGCCTTGCTCTGGTTCAAAGGTGCTCCAGCACTGCTTACCTCCAACCATAAAAAGCACTGAGAGGAAAGGAATTGTATAAGGATCTATGATGCTGCAGCAAAAAGACTTCTTGCAAACCTATCACCTTCTAAAGGAAATCTTTGGAAACTGCAAAATGGCTACTGAATTCTAATTGAAGTGTACAGATCATACAGAAATACCCATACACATACACACACAGTTGTCACTTCCAGTGAAACAAGAACTTAAAAAAAATCCCAACAAATAAAAACCCCTGAAGTTTCAAAAAAGTTCACAAAATAAACAAGTAGAGGATAACCAAATTACCACCATGCACATGACTACAATGGGACACTCCTCAAATGCACAGAGAGCATGCCAGCTGTGTTTGGGAATGCTTTAACCAGTCCACTATCAGCAATAAAAGCAAGAAATCCATGATGCTGCATGCTAGCAAGAAAGAAAGAAAAAAGGTAATAAAAGCAAAAAGCCGAGGAAAAGAAATCATAATGCAAAAGCAAACAAAAGAAATCAAGTCACAACAAACATCTCCACCTGAAGTGGTACACAAACAGCTCACCAGACAAGCATGCAAAAGCACCAATTCCTTCAAGTCCCATTTCCTTTATTTATCATTTTTCCACTCCAAACTCGCCTAAAGCCTCACAACACAGCTCTCAACCATCTCCTTTACTACTTCAACTACACTCACTGTTCAAACTCCTCAGATTTGAGCACGAAGAAATTTTATTTGAATGTTTTTAAGGAAATTCAGTTGAGTATCTGCTTGTGTTGTTGATCCAAGATAGAGAAATGGAGAAAATGTGGAATTCTACAAGAAGTACTTTTGGGACAAGTGCTTTTCTATACAATCTGTGATGTTTACAGATGAGAATTGAAAGCATTTTGAAACTAGAATTTAAGACAAAGCTGCCTAGTTCAGCTGTGACTGTTTTGACCTGTACCACCACTGAAATGTCCCTTTGTCCTCTGAAGTGATCTGGGCAATGAGATTTTTCCCAAGTTGCCAGTATTTCTGTGAGATATGGATATCTCTACTTTCATCCTTTTCTCCTTCCTTCCTTCCTTCCTTCAACAGGGTAGGTTTCTAGACAGTTTAGTTACTGACTTTTCCCAAAAACAAGCACTATAATAGCTTGTATCAGAGTTTACAGAGCAGGAACTATAGATTTTCCATTTTTCCTTTAAAAGAAAGGTAGTGATTTAGTTGGCTTCTATGCAGTATAGCATAAAATAGGCAAACAACAAAGGAAATAGGGTGAAAAATGGGTGAGGAAGGAGAGCAATGGAAGTGGAGGGAGACAATTTAAGCAAAACAAGAACAATCATGTGCTTGTTTGTTGTTGGCAAACATATTCCCTGACACGAAAAGGAGCAAAGCAAATATGAGCAGATCTGACTGTTCCCCAAAAAAGAAATATAAGCCATATTAAAGAAAGTTTGCCTCTTGACTTCCTCCTGCTCAAACAAGCCTTGGCCACCACCCAGTGGAAGTCGATCTCCACTACAAGACTTTTACAGATAATTGCTTCAGGAGGCACTAACAGCCTCGTGCATCGAGTAGCAGACATATAATTGGAGTAAAGTGCTTTAAGTGCTCTCTCCG